GTTGTTTACACTGTTAAAGAGTTGGATTCTCATGCTAAGCATGGGCAAAGTTTCAAAAAACTATTGGGATGTATGACAGAGTATTTCTGTGCCAAAAATATTACTTCCGGTTTCGTACAAGTTTTTTTCCATCGTGGTTCTTAATGACGTAAACGAGGGGGGAACTCCTTATATGGGCATTTCTCCCGGAAGAATGCGCCCGCGCACGTATAGACCAGAGCAAGAGCGAGATCGCACCCATCAACGCGCTGCACGGGACTTGCTCGGGAAGAATGTCTCCAATCCAAAGAAGTGTGTTTTTGGTTGTAAGGGAAAGATAACTTTGTTCAGCTTCCTAAAGAACCCAGCGTTATGTAGACAGTGGATACCGTTTGTTTTTCCGGGGCAGCAGGAGTTTCACAAGTGTGTTTGTTGACAAACGTTTTATAAACAAGGTCCAGTTCGACGCTGGATTTGCACATTGTTTGATGCTGAAAGATGGAGTGGTCCCAGCTATAAAAGATCCCGGTCATGATTCAGAAATGCAGACGGTAAGCGAAACGGCATCAAATGTCTGTTTTGTTGGCATTCGGCGCCCAAGTGCTCGTCACTCTTTAGCTCCGCCCACGGCGCTCACCAGGAGCTCGGCTTTTTCCGGAGAAAATCGTAAAGCTGTATCTTTCTTTTATAAATATGATAAAATAAGACTTTTTGGAGATATGAAGGATGCAGTACTACTCAAGATTAACATGAGATTGGGTGAAACTGTGTGTGTTATGTCCCCTTTAATGACGTCGACTCGAGTTTCATCACATAAATGTCGACTTTAAAAAAGGTTTGAAGTAGTTCAACCCCTACTAAAAATAATGTAAAATCTAAATAAACAAATTAGAAAACACAAAAACACACACAAAATTAAAACGAAACTAAAATTAACTACATAAATGAACTATTAACTGTGTAAGGAATACTGAAATAAAATATAAATAAAAACAATTAATAATTCGAAACTAGTATTTCCAAGAAAAAAACATCGTCTTATATTCGGGTCAATACGGTATTAGTCCATTTAAAAGCACACCTAGCAACAGGAGCATCACCAGACATGAGGTGCACATGCTCAATCTGCTGCTGCTGATGTTGATGCTTATATTATTATGATGATTAGCTGCTACTGTAGCTAACTGTTCACTTAGGTGAAAACATCAAGGGTTGCTAAGCAACTATACTTGTGGTTGGGCCTTGTAAGGCTAGAGTCTGCAGCAGAACAAGAGGTCAACACCCCTAAAGCTGAACTAAATATAACCTCAAGGGGGCAGAGAAAGTGTGTGTGTGTGTGAGAGAGAGAGTGGTTATTGAGTGAGGGTGTTGGGCTTTCTTTGGGATATCCTCTGTCCTCTCTTCTTTCAAGAATACCCAAGGACAACCTGCTATTATTAATAGTGATAAGAAGCTGTTCCCATAGAAATGTTCCTTCACTGTAAAAGCTGATAACTGTTTTTTTACAGCTGTGACATCTAACGTACTCGCTCAAAAACATTCTTTTTCATCTGACAGTTCCCAACCACCCACATAAATAATGTTTGTCCTTGCCTTCATGATGGTCAGTGCACCTATTATTTGACAGAGTGAGACGTGTCAAAACACCTTAAATCATCAATGGTTTAAAATGTATGGAAGCCTGTTTTTTTCCACAGAATAAAAAAAATTATAATAATAATACTAAAAAGGTAACTTTAACCCACAATTCTGATATACTCATATAAACTCAGAATGGTGAGATATAAACTCACAATCATGAGATCAAAAACTTACAATTAACTTTTTTATTTTGTGGTGGGGAAAAACAATCTGTATTGTGAGACGTAAATTCAGAATTGCAAGGTTTTTTTTTTTTTTTAATTCCAAGTTTACATCTCACAATTCTGTGTTTATATCTCACAACTTTGACATTTTCTCAGAATTGAAAGAAACAAAGTCCAAATTGTGAAATATGTTTTCCCCTAATAATATGCTAATGTGTTAATAATATGCTGCTATTTTCACCCAACTTAAATAATGAAGCAAAATGTTTTATTGCATTTGCTGATAAGATAAAATGGGAATACAATGTAAACACTGTATAACACTGTAGAAATGTAAAACATTTAACTTGTGTAACCTAATGTAGAAATAATGAAATAATATTTTTCACATTTGGCAAATTTAAGTGACTTAAAACATTTTTTATGCTTTTGTGCCAAACATTTTTCAAAGCATGCAATATCCCTTAATAATGTGATTGTACAAAACATTGTTAGATAACATTAAAAAGTGCATTTCTGGGTTTGTCTAGATGATCTTGAACACATTCACATGTCATAAGTGTGCGTGCTGTCTGTGTGCGTATATAGAGGCGTTAGTCATTAAAGACTGGATTATAGCACCATACGTTGGAGCCACAGGTACAAATAACCAAGAATAGGGACAGTGCTGAGAATTTAACACCATTCCTGTCCAACACCTGTCACGCACTTGTTTGCCGCACACACATGTACACAACATACTGTACACGTGTGTAAGATGTGTGAAATCACACTGGCTTCTGCATCTGCTAATACATTCATATTTATTTATGAATAAAAATGTTAAGAAGGAAAGGCCACAGTAATCACTAATGAGTTTGAAAATAATGTATTTATTAGTGGCAGTTAACAAGAATTGACAGCTGTCAAAAATTATTTTCCCCTTCATTACGTTCTCTAATTCCTCAAATGCACATTTTTACTCTGTCACTTCTGATCTTTTTCTTCATATTTGTCTTCCTAACTCCATTCTAGACTCCTCTCATTAGCCACTATATATATTTAACCTTCAATTCATCCCAGCATCTTGGCTTTCCTGAGTCCCTCTTCTCTTTCCCTTGATCCGTCTTCCTGTCATCAGCAGCGTCTCTGTATGTTCCCCGGGCCAAGTGCAGACCTAAAAAGGAAGACACATACACAATGACAGAGTTACAGAAGGATAAATATACTCATAAAATGTGGGAATGTTATTTCTTAAATCTTCCGGCACTAACCGGTCAGTTCCATGTGTCTTATCTCTCTCCAGTACAACATCAGACCGCTGCCCCGTCAATCACTTCACCAGAAGAAGATCATCACTGAATCAATTTCTCTCAGTCTAGATGATCTTGAACACATTCACATGTCATAAGTGTGCGTGCTGTCTGTGTGCGTATATAGAGGCGTTAGTCATTAAAGACTGGATTATAGCACCATACGTTGGAGCCACAGGTACAAATAACCAAGAATAGGGACAGTGCTGAGAATTTAACACCATTCCTGTCCAACACCTGTCACGCACTTGTTTGCCGCACACACATGTACACAACATACTGTACACGTGTGTAAGATGTGTGAAATCACACTGGCTTCTGCATCTGCTAATACATTCATATTTATTTATGAATAAAAATGTTAAGAAGGAAAGGCCACAGTAATCACTAATGAGTTTGAAAATAATGTATTTATTAGTGGCAGTTAACAAGAATTGACAGCTGTCAAAAATCCCTAAGATGTTGTTCCCCCTTATTTTCCCCTTCATTACGTTCTCTAATTCCTCAAATGCACATTTTTACTCTGTCACTTCTGATCTTTTTCTTCATATTTGTCTTCCTAACTCCATTCTAGACTCCTCTCATTCGCCACTATATATATTTAACCTTCAATTCATCCCAGCATCTTGGCTTTCCTGAGTCCCTCTTCTCTTTCCCTTGATCCGTCTTCCTGTCATCAGCAGCGTCTCTGTATGTTCCCCGGGCCAAGTGCAGACCTAAAAAGGAAGACACATACACAATGACAGAGTTACAGAAGGATAAATATACTCATAAAATGTGGGAATGTTATTTCTTAAATCTTCCGGCACTAACCGGTCAGTTCCATGTGTCTTATCTCTCTCCAGTACAACATCAGACCGCTGCCCCGTCAATCACTTCACCAGAAGAAGATCATCACTGAATCAATTTCTCTCAAACTTCCTGTTTTTAAAATTGAAGTGCTTTGTGCTTTTGTGCACCGTTATCTTTCACACCTAGCAACTCTTACTTTAGCAGGCTTTACTGATAACATAAAATGATAGGCCATATAACTGTAATATTGTGAAATTGTATTACAATATAAAATAACCATTTTTTTAAACACGTTAAAATGTAATTTATTCCTGTCATGGCAAAGCTGAACAGCTATTTCCAGTCTTCAGTACAGTCTTCATTGTAATGGTGCTCAAGAAACAAGTCTTATTATTATTAGTATTGTTGAAAACCATTAATATTTTGTGGAAACCGGGATACATTTTTTCCAGGACACTTGGATGAACAGCTAGTTCAAAGAACGGCATTTATTTAAATTTAGAAATCTTTTCAATTTATTAACGGTCACTTTTAATTTAGTTCATTTTGAATATAAGAATTTCACAGTGAATGGTAAGAAATCATCCACCACGTTTTTGCAGCAATGCGACCTGTGCTGCAACATGAGCACAGACATGCCAGCAGCACCGGGAGACATTCTGTGCAACGACAGGGTTGTCAGAATCATGACACATAAGCACACCTGATGGGGCCCAGGTCAGAAAGGGGGCAAGGGGTCAGAGTTAAAAAGTCACAGAGAGTCAGTGGTGAAAAATATGTCAAGTACTCTGAAAAGAAAAAAAGAACAGGAGAGAAAGACAAATAAAACTAAACAGGATATCCGAGGCCTGTGTGTGAACTGTAACCTTAACACTTACTAAGAACCTGAATGGCTAAATATCTGCTGTAGCCCTCACGCTCTCCGTTTCTTCGGCCACACAAGAGCTGTGAGGGTCACCTCCCTTCCACCATCCTTGCAATAAACATAAAAATCGAACAATTGGGTTGAGCTGCTGCTGGTCCACGTCACTCAGATCTATTTATACAAGACACACACAACTGCTGCTCAATCTACAGTTACACAAGAACAAAAAGGACCCCCCCCCCCCCCCCCCCCCCCCCCCCCCCCCCAGCGCCCAGCGTTCCGCTCTTTCCCTTGATCCGTCTTCCTGTCATCAGCAGCGTCTCTGTATGTTCCCCGGGCCAAGTGCAGACCTAAAAAGGAAGACACATACACAATGACAGAGTTACAGAAGGATAAATATACTCATAAAATGTGGGAATGTTATTTCTTAAATCTTCCGGCACTAACCGGTCAGTTCCATGTGTCTTATCTCTCTCCAGTACAACATCAGACCGCTGCCCCGTCAATCACTTCACCAGAAGAAGATCATCACTGAATCAATTTCTCTCAAACTTCCTGTTTTTAAAATTGAAGTGCTTTGTGCTTTTGTGCACCGTTATCTTTCACACCTAGCAACTCTTACTTTAGCAGGCTTTACTGATAACATAAAATGATAGGCCATATAACTGTAATATTGTGAAATTGTATTACAATATAAAATAACCATTTTTTTAAACACGTTAAAATGTAATTTATTCCTGTCATGGCAAAGCTGAACAGCTATTTCCAGTCTTCAGTACAGTCTTCATTGTAATATGCTGATATGGTGCTCAAGAAACAAGTCTTATTATTATTAGTATTGTTGAAAACCATTAATATTTTGTGGAAACCGGGATACATTTTTTCCAGGACACTTGGATGAACAGCTAGTTCAAAGAACGGCATTTATTTAAATTTAGAAATCTTTTCAATTTATTAACGGTCACTTTTAATTTAGTTCATTTTGAATATAAGAATTTCACAGTGAATGGTAAGAAATCATCCACCACGTTTTTGCAGCAATGCGACCCGTGCTGCAACATGAGCACAGACATGCCAGCAGCACCGGGAGACATTCTGTGCAACGACAGGGTTGTCAGAATCATGACACATAAGCACACCTGATGGGGCCCAGGTCAGAAAGGGGGCAAGGGGTCAGAGTTAAAAAGTCACAGAGAGTCAGTGGTGAAAAATATGTCAAGTACTCTGAAAAGAAAAAAAGAACAGGAGAGAAAGACAAATAAAACTAAACAGGATATCCGAGGCCTGTGTGTGAACTGTAACCTTAACACTTACTAAGAACCTGAATGGCTAAATATCTGCTGTAGCCCTCACGCTCTCCGTTTCTTCGGCCACACAAGAGCTGTGAGGGTCACCTCCCTTCCACCATCCTTGCAATAAACATAAAAATCGAACAATTGGGTTGAGCTGCTGCTGATCCACGTCACTCAGATCTATTTATACAAGACACACACAACTGCTGCTCAATCTACAGTTACACAAGAACAAAAAGGACCCCCCCCCCCCCCCCCCCCCCCCCCCCCCCCCCAGCGCCCAGCGTTCCGCTACATTTCCCCCCACACATGGCTGACTGTCCGTCTGCATCAGTAACTGGTTTTCTCTTATGTTTGTTTGATATGTTGTTTCCCCCCCCCCCCACCCCACACACACACGGACAACAGGGTCTAGTTTCACTGGAACACTTAAATAACAATAGTCAGGGTAGGAGAACAAGTCTTCACACATATATTTAAGTGAGGAGATGCAGAGAATGGATTTCAGAGAATATACTGAACATTGTGTGTAGACAAGAATAAAATAACTTTATTTGCCCATCTTTATTTGCCAATAAAAGAAAATAATTTTATTTCAGTTAGCTGCAAAGTCAACATTTATAATTTGTTCTAATTTATAATTAAATTCTAAGTTTTTTTTCATCTCATAGTTTTCATTCTATGTTTTTCATCTAATATTCCTATTTTATTGCAATGTACACTTTTAAAAAAAATTGTTTTAGTTTTAGTTAATAACAATACGGATTGTGGCATGTTCAAAAAATCGTTCAAGTGAAATGTTGATGGATGAAAACATTATTTATCTGATGGGGGAATTAAATGTTCCTACTCTTGGAAACGACAAGCCTATAAGTTCAAAGGGCAGAGTAGCAGCTGAAGAGAAGCACAAACTGTAGGCACTTCATGTAGGCATGAATATGAGGTGTGAATAAAAGGAGGGGCTGAAGGATGTTTTGAGACAATTACTCACCCATATGATAGTCTAATAATGCTCTGGTGTGCCGGTATGTGAAATGCTAGGGCTGCATGTCCAAGTGCCAAAATGATAAAACTTTTTGCATCATTAATTAAATGTCCCCAATAAAATAGAATAAATAAATGACACACTAAGAATTATTAAAATTGATTTTCATGTTGTTTGTCTAATGGTTATGGATTTAGTTTCAAGTGATGTTAGAATGATGATAGGGGGGACCCCTCTAAAGCAAAAGAGTCTGCGACTTGATTTAACTGACCAACTGATCATTTGTCACTTTCAATGTCTTAAAATATGGTGGTTGTTGTTGTTGTTTTAACCCACTCATACAATATAATTTTAAACAAATAAATATCTTCACTACACAATACAAAGTAAAAAAGAATAAATATTGCATGCAAAACTTCCCTACTTCATCCATTGTTTTACTATATTCATTAGTACAGTAATTAACTGTAAGCATTAAGTTGCATTACAAATTAAGTTTGCTTAAAAAATGTTATAAAAATGAATGAACGGCCATTAAATGGGCTAAAATCATACAATGGTTTCTTCCTGTCCTTGATCTGGTTTGGCGAAAATGATTTACCCAGTCATCTATCACTGTCTATTCTTCTAAACAATCTCTCAACAAGACAAAAGATCTACAAACTTAGAGACATTCAGAATCTAATAATGTCTTAATTTCAACCTTAACAGTCCTCTTTCGTTCATCTCTTTCTTTCTCTCTTTACACACTCTTGCTAATGAATCCCTCCTCAGCCTGTTTTACAACACATTTGCCATGTCTGAAGAATTGTTTTAGCCTCACACACTTTTTCCATAGCTGTTCATCCTGGGTGCTAATCCTCTCTGATGATGGAGATCTGACGATCTTCATATATTTTCAACAGTGTTGGGGAAAGTTACTTTTAAAAGTAATGCATTACAATATTGTGTTACTCCATAAAAAGTAACTAATTGCATTGCTTGATTACTTTTTATGGAAAGTAATGCATTACATTACTTTTGCGTTACTTTTTGTCACCTGGGCTGAGCTTGCTTATAACCAAAGGTTATATTTTTGGCAACTGTAAAGGCCCTTTCACACCGAAAGTGAAATGAATAAGCCTCCAGCTGAAGGAAGTGCCTCTGCACCTCACTCCTGATTTTTCTCAACATGGGGACAGGAGATGTGTCAGTGAATAAATTGGAAAACAATGTAACTTGCGTTACTTGTTTGAAAAAGTAATTTTTTGTTGTAAATTGAAAAGTAATGCGTTATAATACTAGTTATTTGAAAAAAAGTCATCTGATTACATAACTCACGTTACTTGTAATGCGTTATCCCCAACTGATTTTCAAACATACCTTCACATTACAGTTCTTACAGAATAGAAAGACATTTTAATCCTGTACCACATAATTGTAAAAAGGACCTGTAAGTTTTTAATCCCCACAAAAAGCCAAGCCCATGGTCATCCCTCACTGTATATCAACATCCCAAAACCATTTGAGTGATCACTCATTCCCATGTTCTAAAAAACAGACCCCAATTTCAACCCCGCTTTTAAGGCTGCTCACCCCTGCTGCAGTTTTCACCCAATTGCTCCAAATCACACCCCTCCATCTCTCTTCCCAAGGCCATGCCCCTTCCTCACCATATTGGTCTGATTTCAGCCAATAGTGGGCCTCCTCTGGGTGTGACCTGGGAGATGGTTTGTCTGGTGTCTTTATAAAACTCTACAGAGATGGGTGGAAGTTTGCACTTTCTGTCAGCCCTGCGCTCCAGAGTGAGGAGAAGGAGAGAGAAAGAGAGAGGGGAAAGAGAATCAAGGGGCCATCTGTTTTGTCCCTATCCCACACTTTTAAAAAGTGTTGGTGCGTACTCTCTTTTGTTCAGGAATTTTTATTTATTTATTTTTTTTATAACTAGAGGATTCAGTAGTTTCTCAATGACCTGTAAAAAGCCTTAAAACGGGATTGTCTGCATTTCTCTGGGTAGGAATCCAAGTCATCTACATCTCTTGTGTGTTTTTTCTTTTTTTTTTTGAAGTCTCCACTTTGAGCAGACAGGATGGAGAACTCACACATCAAAGAACCAGCAGAATGCCTGGCCTACTTCGGCGTGAGCGAGACCACAGGCCTCTCTCTGGATCAGGTCAAGAAAAGCCAAGCCAAGTACGGATTCAACGGTGAGGAAAGCATGGTCAAATGACGGAGGCATCTGAAAAATCTGAATGGATGTTTGATTACAATAAAACAATGTTGGGACGAATTAACAGAACATGCCATTTTGAAGGGGAGGTAGCAAGAATTCCCAACTTTGTAATAAGGACATGCTTAGTTGTGATTAGTTGAGAACAGACATCAGACTTAGACAACAAAATGGAGGAAAATATTTAAATAGTTATAGTGTCTCTCAAGACTTTTTTTAAAACTGCAATTCAAATGCATTAAAAAATTAGAGAAGACAGCATAAATCTCCAGAAGTGTTTTCAAGAACTTGAACAGATGCACTTATCCATGCAGTATAATAACATCAAGTTGGAAAAGCAAGATTAGAAGATAAGGAAAAGAAAGAAGAAAAGCAAAAATGTAACAGCTGAAACACAGAGGGGCCATGTTAAGCCTACAGGGACTTCAGTAGAAGGTCAAACAGAAGGACAAATGGCTAGACCTCATTTCAGAATGAAGTATTATACCATAATTGAATATGCTATGTTATGGTGGTTGATGATGGGAAAGATATTAATGGCTAATTCTAATGGTTCTGTTTCTACCCACCTCTGCCATTCATTTGTCTACTGGACCAAATTGACCAATCACAGAGCTGCCCGCTGAAGAAGGTAAGTTCTCAATTTACTGTTATTATAGATTTATACGACAAGACCTAGATGTAGAATTGACATCATGTCTGTTTTTTATGCAAATCAGTTGCTTTATTTGATTTATGCACTTCTCTTTTCAGTCAAACAAAGATCATGATTGGTGTGCTTACCAATTTGGTCATATTGACTTTCTAATTGAACTATATAAAAAAACCTTCTCTCTCAGGTAAGAGCATCTGGGAGCTGGTGGTTGAGCAGTTTGAAGATCTCTTGGTCAGGATCCTGCTGTTGGCTGCCTGCATCTCTTTTGTAAGTAAATAGAAACCACATAACATTAGATTTACAGTCACAGAGCTGTAACATTTTAATGAATGGACAGGGTTTCATTTAGAGGTGCAGACAATGATTAATAATCTGAATGTGAAGGACAGGGACACATTTCCCACATTCCCATCTGTTCCTGTCAATCAAGCCATATGGTAACCCTTCAGCCTAGAGCATATAATGGGTAGGCAGTAATCCAGCTGTTTATATGTGCCAGGTATTATGGGACCCTTATAGTTACGTGAAACAACACTGCTAGCATGAGGTGCTAGGCATCTTTTCTTAGTCCCAGACATATACACGCCCTCACTCTTGAAATCTGAGTACTTGCCGCTCTGATAATGAACGAGTGACGGCACATAAAACTGACGTTCTTTCTTTCTTCCAAATCGGTTTAGGAATAAATGAAGCAGACAGCATTAGTTCTGCTGTTTTGTTCAGGCCTTCGTCGAGCCTTATCACAGCTGCCATTATGGCCTTAGAAGGCCAAGATAGAAGCTTTGAGGAGAAGCAAGGACAGAGAAAGAATAGAGAGAAAAAGAAAAGAGAGAGAGAGTGAGTGATTAAAACAGAGAGAGGAAAAGAGTGTTATTTTAAGGTGGTCTTAAGCCCATACAAGAAACAGAATCCACACACAAAGGTCAAAGATGGAAGGAATGAAAAACAGATTGGTGGCGAGACTGTAAAGGTGAGGGAGAGAAAGACAAACAGCAGGTGCCATCATGCCATAAAACGAGCGATGTGTGTGCACACGTGAGAACTACTGGATCAGCTGTACACCACACTCAACCATAACTTCATGTACATATGAGGTGTGGGTGGGTGGGGGGAGATGCACTTACTTGAGCAAAACTTTCAGAGGATACACGCACACACACACACACACACACACATACACACACGTTGGTATAGGTGGTTTACGAGGACTTTCCATAGGCGTAATGGTTTTTATACTGTACAAACTGTATTTTCTATCACCCTACCCAACCCTACACCTAAACCTACCCCTCACAGAAAACTTTAGATTTTCAAAAAGCACCATTTAGTATTTTTTAAAGCCTTTTGAATTATGGGGACACAGGAATTGCAGTGTCCTCATAAGCCACCTTCACATTGTAATACCTATGTCATACCCATGTCATTATACAAATTTTTGTCCTCATAAACCACCCAAACTGGTGCACAATTTTACATACATCCACTGTTTCTTTAATCAGACTCTAATGAGGTGGATTAAAAAATTATTATTTTATTTATTTTTTTACACCTCCCATATGGACCTTGGATGTGTCTCTCACAATCTCTCTGGCTCTCTCTGTTCATCAGGTACTGGCTTGGTTTGAGGAAGGTGAGGAAACCGTCACTGCCTTCGTCGAGCCATTTGTCATCCTTCTCATCCTTATTGCTAATGCTATCGTTGGAGTATGGCAGGTGAAATTATACATATATTTTACATCCCCAAAACAGTGGTCCCAAAAAGAATCTGGATACTAGAGGCAACCGCCAAAATAAATTAATAAATTATATGACAAAATGTTAAACTAAGAGGCACTTATTGTTAAAATAAAAAGAGAAATGTAAAATTTTAAATAAATTTAAAATAAAAAGAAATGAAAGAAAACACTTTTCAGACAAAACATGTTTATAGGGTTTTAAATCGTAAGACAGTAGATATATTGTTCAAACGAAGACAAAAAGCATTTTTAAATTTTCTGGTAATGTGATGAACTACATTTACAATTACACTGTATGTGAACTGAGAGAAACAGACCTCATAAATCCACTAATGGTAAAATAACCTTGTCCAGTTGGTTAAAAATATAATTGAAAATGGTTAAACTGAAGGTATTACTAAGAAAAGCTCTAGCATTATTTGTTTGCAGACACCACTTGTAGTTATCTTGCAGTTATCTAATACAATTAAAAAAAATAAATTTCAAGAGTAACGCAAGAATCCAAAACTATTATTGGGACCACTATATAAACGCACAGTGAATGCAAGCATTAGAAGCCAGAATGGTGTAAATGACATCAGAGGTTAAAGTTTAGACACGGCAGTATTCACATAGTATTCACAAAGGTCCGGTGGCAAAAATACTAGAGGCTGATCAGGTTTCATCAAGGGCCCATTCAACTGGCACAACAGTCATTTGGAAAGTATGCGCACCCTTGGAAGAAGAGAGTCGTCAAGGTGTAAAATACTAATGGGAGCAGGAACTGATCAAGAACTTTGTGTTCACAGGAGCGCAATGCGGAGAGCGCCATCGAGGCTCTGAAGGAGTATGAGCCAGAGATGGGCAAAGTCTACCGCGCTGACAGAAAGAGCGTACAGATGATCAAAGCCAGAGAGATTGTTCCTGGAGACATTGTGGAAGTGTCAGGTATACCAGTGGACATGAGTATCTGACAGCAGAGCATCATTAACACAGAACATTCTCATAATGCTCTAACACACAAGAAGAGTGCAATGGTCTGAAAATGGAAATGCAGAGTAAGCAACACCCTCAAGCCAACTGTTACACTGTGTAAGCACAGTGATGTCAAGTAACGAGGCACATGTGCAGAGGGGACAGGACTATATGGGACTCATGCCCTTGAGAAAGTGTGAGCGTCCTTTTAAGGCAATTACGGTGTGTGTGTGACAGTGGGAGGAAGAATATAGAGTAATGGGATCAGAAAAGGCCGAAAGAACCGGCGAGAGCATGGGCAAAGAAAAGGCCTGTATATAAATACATCCAAGCACCTGTTCCTCTGTTTGCCCCCTTTCGATCCCTTGCCCCTTCTCTTTCCCTCTTCCACCTGTTCCTTCCTCATCACTCATGTTTTCTCTCTAGGGCACTTGTTTACTCCATGTTGAAGGTCAGCTTGTCCTTGTCATTCTTCTCTTTCATGCATTTGCCCCCTGAACAGGTCCCCCTTTTGAGTCTCTAATCTTTCACCAATAGATCAGCAAACATTATTGACAGCGGCATTATCTTTAGACTA